CAGTTTCAAACAAATATATTCGTTTGCGAGAGGCTCACCTGAAACCGCGCTGGATTTCTGGTCTGTGATGTTTCCAAGCATTATCATAAACGAGATATTCAGCAGAGTTTCATGTGAGTCTCCCAAAACCAAATTTGTTTGCAACGAAATGCATTTTCCTAAATTGTGGTAGCTTTATTTCTCATGGATCGGCATTTCCTCGTCATTTAGTTTGGTTAAATTATGATTGACCAACACTACGTTAATATACTGAGATTTACCGCTGGACGTTTCGAGCACCATCATCAGGAGTTAAAAACCAGAATCACAAAAAACCAAAAACAGAAGCTAAAATCGTCAGATCGTTAAAAAGGCTTTACAAGGTCGTCATTTAATTGGTCAGGGGGACACGCCTACGTCTGCGTTCTAAGGCTGAAGCTAACGAGCGCACATCCAGCCACTCTGATAATCGATTAGTTTAGACCAGGCAGATGATATGAAGATACCGACGATTAGATTTAATCACAACAGTTGGGCGTGAATCGCATGAATGGAAATTCTTGATGGAATCGAGTGATCCTTATTCCACTCCTAAAACAGTCAGCCGCGGCAAAAGAACCCCGATGTGCTATTGCAGCACTGTCCAACCAAAATGATGTGTTTGGAAATCAATTGGGGGCTGCGAACTGAAATCCATCCTACCCCGAAACAACTACCAAAACAGCGTGATGGTTACTTGAAGTAAAGTGCATCACTGCTGAAGAACGGACCAGCCCACTGTGGTGTATCAATGACCAATCGTTTTATTGTTTCATCAGTCATCCAGCGCCATTTGACCTGATCTCAAAAACTACCTGCGACTATGTTATTCGTCGCGTGTTTTTGACTCTACTTTGTCAAATTTTGCTGTCTAAACCAGTTGGGTTAGAAATCTTTGGGAACATGTACTTTTTACCAATGGGCGTTCTTCTTGAGATGGCTGATACAAGTAGACCAGTTTCTTTGAGCTTAGGCAAATCAAGCAAATCCACTATAGGATATTTTTACGGATTTAGCACTCAGCAACAAACGCGACATGCAGTAAGCCCTTTAAAACACAAAGTCACGAGTGCGGAACACCTGAACCTCTGTAGGCTTGCCGCTGGAACACCCGTAAGCGTTAGGACACTCGACTTATCCAGATAAACGGTAAGAGTACTGTGACTCTAAAAGACAGGCTTTCCACTTGATCTACACCGTAAATACAGAGGTAAGATTTTCCTCAAGAAGAGTTTGTTCAATGCGGCTTTTTGACAAACAGAGTGAAGATGGACCATTGTTTGGCTCAGTGGTGGGCGTGATGGATCAGTGGTTAGAGCGCAGACTTACTGATCGAAAGGTCTGTGGTTCGAATCCGACATTTGCTTCTCGACTTTCCCTGTCTAGGCTTGGGCAACCTGGTAGTATCCCAGCCCTCGTGCTTCCTTCTAGTGACATGGCAGTTTGGCACCGAAACGAACGAACTACTGATTTAACTACAATCACACGAGTAGTATCCCGCCCTCGTGCTTCCTTCTAGTGACATGGCAGTTTGGCACCGAAACGAACGAACTACTGATTTAACTACAATCACACGAAAATTGAGCTTCAAGTCAGTGTCTTTGCGCAGTCATTCCAAGACTTGTTTTTCCACAAGCCATCGAACGAAGTGAAGGATATTTTGTGCCCATGAGTTTACTAAAATATGGATTTTTCGGATTGCCTTTCCCTGTGATGTCTGTTATGACTTGAGCTTTGGAAGATTAAACAATTGATTCAATCAGATTCAATCGTTAGCACAGTTTGTCAGCTTTCTTCTACGATATCTGAAAGTATGGTTTCGATGGTCTGGATCTCGGGGATATGGAAACACTCCTCAGAAAGCTTGTGAATATGTACTTTTATTAGCAAAAGAAAGTTTATAGGATGGATGAAATGACCTTGCTGATGTACTACAGCCACCACAATTTTGTAGGTTTCACATCCTAAGTAATGGCAGCAATATTCCATAAATAGAGCTAATTAACAAAATATGGTCAGGGGAATAATGATCTTGGAGTCTTATAAATATTTCTTTTATTAATTTTGGCAATTTTGGCGCCTCTTGAGGAAAAAATAATATTAGTACCATTTTTCTAGGTAGCCCAATTTGTTACGGTTATAAATATATGGGCGTTGGCCAGGTGGTGAAATCACGGAGTTGACGATGGGTAATCATTTTTCACTGGCACTTGAAAACTCGCTAACGTCGTTCGTTGTGTTCATCGGTCACCAGGATGTGGAAAAAATGATTTTGCTTTCATTTCCAGTTAATGGACGTAGGTCATAGAGAAAGTAACTAGTACAATAGTTCACCTCACCAAGGATACTCAAGCGGACGCTCATGCGGAATGAGTTTGGAGTACGTCAATAAGGAGGCCTCATTACTCTGCATCCTGTTAGCTCAGAGAACATTCAATCGGAACCCGGAACACAGCATGAACTAATAACAGGGACGCAGTACAGTAGTGTCCTAATTTTAAATAAATTTTGGAGATTTCACATAAGGATAAAAACTCTTTTGTATTAAGCAATGTAACCAAGTCAATAGTTGGAAAGTGTGTAATTCACTCATGTTGGGTATAAACCATTGCATTCGAATTCTCTGGCCCGAGATGAGTGATCAAGATCGTGGATTTGTAGTGGGGTTCGTTTGCTACAGGAAACCTTAGATGAGCTAACAGAACCCAGTGTCAAACACATACGTAGAAATCGGTTTAAGACATTTGATGGCCTCGTGACACGAATTCAAAGGGGAAGCGGAGTTAAAAAGTTTAACAAACGTCATTACTAGTGAGAGGTGCACAGAGAGATGAAATGTATTTGCGTAGGTCTACCAAGGCAAGACAGGCAGCTTTAGAACACAAGCATGGGCTGGCGACCTTAGTTCGGGTTACACCAATAACGAGTGTGCATTGTTGTAGATGAGTTGTTCATGCTGAAAATATCTCATTTCTTTGACGCGTGAGCTTGTCCGTCGGAGTGTTGAGTGGCAAACTTGTGGAGTTTGCAAAACGGTTTTCGTAGACGGAAAGGGAGCAACTGAGCACTGGTTGAACGCGTCGCATTGATGATAAACCAATAAATTGATCTTCAGGTCAGTCTTGCTTCTAAAACGCCTTCCTTTTTTTGGGAAAAAGATCCCTATGACGAGGGATCTATACCCCAAAAACAACATAGTTGATTCAGAAGTAAGAGCTACTCGCATACTGATCAAAACTGTTTTTCTGCTTAACTGATGCATTTCACGAACAACTCGAAGCCCTCGTTTTCGAAGAAATTTGGTGACAGTCGGTAGATTTATTGCTGAGCAACATTTCGCTTTTGACACAAAAGATTAGGTCCCGCGGTTGGTCGAGATTTAAGGCGAGAGGAGAACCAATCAGCTAAGTCAAGCTAAATCTCTGTTGGGTGTCGACCGTGCGATTTTTGTGTGTTAGGGTGGGTGAACAAGTGTTGGGTCCAGCCTAGGGTTTGGTTCTTCTGGTTCAGTCCATTTGATGGTCCCTCTTGAACGTCGTTTGAACTTTCTGTCCGTCTGTGTGGATGAACTAGTGCTAAGATAGTTGTGCAAGAGGGATGATGTGACCTTTGGTCGCTCGGCCGGCACCCACCCGAGAAGTAGTTTGACTTAGCTGATTGGTCCTCCTTCCACCTTAGAGCTCGACCAACCTCAGAAGCTAGTCACTTGGCCTGACGAAGCTTTTGTGTTAAAAGCGAAACATGGCCCAGCAACAAATCTACCGATTGTCACCAAACGTTTTCGAAAACGATGACTACTCAATCGGTTCCAAGTATTTTTCACCTGACTGAACTCGAAGCCCTCTTTTCCACTGAGAAATTTTCAGTCAGAGGATACCGGTGAAAAAAATCCGGTGACATTTTGGGAAAAAAACATTCATACTTCATGTTGTTAAGTAAAGTCAGTCAAAAAATCTTTGCGGTTTATAAAATGCGACAGCGATGCGCTCTCTACGTTCACCCGATCTTTTTTGATGAAGTTGTGTTGTGACGATGATGATGGTTATATAAATCCCAATCGAAAAAATTCACAGATGAGTAAGACAGACCTATCCATAGGTAGACCAGACTTGAACTAAACCGCCCACGTGTACTAATCTTCAGTGGTATGTTAATTTACCGTACACTGCCAGTGCCCATTCAAAAACAAACTGGACGGTGGGTGGCGGTGAACATTACGGGTGAGTTACGTTGAACTCAAGGATGTGACTTTCCGTGATCTTGAATGATATCAATCATGTATTGACTGACCAGTTGATAACCAAATAACCGAGGCCGTGTTGTACAGGGACTATAGCGGTCTTTTTTCTGATTATTGATAATTTTTACTAAAAATCTAACACGAAATGTGTGTATCTGCCTGTTTCCGTTCCCTTAATGTGTCGTTCACTGTTGATATACACCCGGTACCTCACGTAAGTTCACAGACACCCTTCTATGAATCCTACATATATAAGGTTCAACGAACACGCTGTTTTATCGAGGGAGTTTGATGAGAACTGTTCACTATATCCGCGCTGAGGGTACAATTTGCATAATTCAGATAAACAGGCATGCTATTAGGCTTCAACTCGCTACATTTACTTCCGAGATAAACAAGGGATCGGTTGGGATATTCGGAATTTATTCAACCCAATCCATTCTGTTTTCCTTCCGTGCTCCCACCGGAAGGCTGTTTGACCATTGCTGTTGCATTCGGCGGGTGCTGTCACATCACAGCAATTCCGTTCATCCCCGATCATGAACGGGAGCGGCGTTTCATTGAAGCGAAACCCGAAAAGACACTGGTCACAAATCAAACCCACTTGGAAAAGGCGCGGATAGATCTGTTTCAGTTAATCCAAATAAGCTAAAATAAAATGTCTTCGAGAAATATACTCAAATCAATTTGGTTTTCATGAGAGACTCAAGTGAATCTCTCGTTTATGATATCCTCCAACTGAATGTGCTGTACAAAGGCCGCCTCATTACTGAGTTGGCACGATATTCGAGATATCGCAGTATATTTTCATAAAGGAATCTACTCACAAGTGTGCTTGAAACTCTTTGACAGCCTACGACCGGTTTCGCCCTTCTTGGGGCCCATCAG